AGCTCAGCCCACCAGGGGGCAGAATTGGCTGGCATGTGGTGCTGGGGGATTGAACCGTGGTCCCTGTGCTTTGCTAAGCTAGTTCTAAGTAGGTGCTTTAGACCACTGAGCCATCTCACCAGCCCCTATTTATTTGTTTTTGAGACAGGATTTTACTGTGTAGCCCAGGCTGCCCTTGAACCCATGGCAATCCTCTTGCCTCTGCCTCCTGAATGCTGGGACTACAGGCATGTACCACCATACCTAGTTTAAAAAAATATTGTAGAAAAAGACATTATTAATCTCTTTCAAAATCCTTCCCCTTTGTTATGGCTTGTGTCTGACAGTCCCCCTAAAGCAGTCATGGAGCGACTTCTGGAGTTTGTGATTGATTATTGTAGGTGTGGATGTGCACCTGCCCCGGGGCAGGGAATTTGCATTACATCGTAAAGAGGGGAGAGAGGCCGGCTAGCTGCCTGAGCTGCTGCCACTGCCTTTGCTCTCTGCTCTCTGCTGCTGCCATGAATGGTTGCTTTTTGCTGCCGTGCAGCTCTGTGCCGCGTGCAACTCTGCCTTGGAGCCAGCCGAGTATGGACTAAAACCTCCATTAACTGTGAGCTAAACAAACCTCTCTTTCCATCATTTTGGACTTGGGTGCATTAGTCCCAGTAATGAGAACAGAGTGACTGAGACATCCCTGACTCAGACACCCTTACCCCGTCATCCTCGCCCCTTTCTGAAGCAGTTCTGGAGGTAGTAGCTTCTGGAGTGTCTCAATGAATTGTGATAAAAATAAAGTGGATGTGGCTACAAGTGCTGTTCAGCGGAAAGGCAGACTCCTAAGGACACCCATGTGCCTCAGCCACGTTAGCCACCGAGTCTGGCCCCGTGCGTCCTTTGGGTTATCCCCGAAGTCAGAGTGCCAGAAAAGGTAACTGGTTTGAATGGATTCAGGACCTTGAGGTTGCTGTGGTGGGCGGCACAGTGACAGACACTCACGCAGGAGGATTTCCAGAATTGTGTCAGAAGATGGCAAGAATGATGGGATGATTGTGTTCAAAGTGAGGGAGATGATTTTCGTGAGATTAATGGCGATGTGTCTTTTACTGTAAAAAATTTAAAGGGAAATTCATTGTATTTTTAAAATCACGCTCTGTGTGTGTGTGTGTGTGTGTGTGTGTACTTTTTTCCTGTTTGGTACTCTTTACGCCTCCTTACTCACATTTAAAAGAAGTCTTTGGAATTAGGATGTATTTGTGTAACCTTATAAACTGTCACTGAGCACATAGGTAAAAGTACATGACTTCCGAGGAGATGGCAGAGCAGAAATGGGCAGTGGCCTTCAGAAAGACCTGGAATCAGGGGCGGCGTAAAGTGCAGATGACCCTGCGGCACACAGCTGTGTAGTAGTGAGAAGCCAGGCACGTAGTGCGTGGCGCTCCCAGATGACTTAAAATCAAGAGCCACTCATTGTAGAGGTGATTTTAGAGTCCCTGATTTTAGAGATGGGACAGGCTTCTGCCGGGGACACAGACTAGCAGCTTTTCAGGCCACGCTGTCCTCCTGGCCGCCTGCCCTTCTGAAGGGAGCTGTGCACCCAGCAGTGTTGCGGGGAGCGCGGGGGACCTACAGACTTGCACTGAAGCGTTGTCTGTGTTCTTGCCTAGGCCACTGGCTGCAGGAGGCGGTGACCGTGTCTGTGTGCCTCTGCTCGGAAGGCTACTCCCCAGTGACCATGGGCTCCTGCTCGGTGACCTACGTGGACAACATGGCCTGCCGGCTGGCCCGTTTGCTGGTGACCCAGGCGGACCGCCTCACGGCCAGTAGTCACCAGACCCTGCTGACGCCGTTCGCCCTGACGCCAGGTGCGCTGGCTGCATTGGACGAGGAGCTTGTGACGGCGATGACCCAGCTGGAGCTGCCCGCAGGGTGGACTGTCCTGGGAGATGCTTCACCTGAGGGTGGGTATGCTCCACAGAACACAGCTGTGGGCCGTCCCTGCCAGTGCAGAACGGGCCTTTCTCTGAAGTGTGTGTTCCCTTGCCCTCCTGGGGCCAGGTTTCTCATGGTCTCTGGTCTGGTTTCTGCTCCTCTTCCCGGGAGGTATTGGGGCAGTGGTGGTAAATGCTTTGCCTTGTGGGGTTGGGACAGTTTCTCTATGGCAGGCCCTGGAGCCACTGGCCTTCCCTCGGCAAGTTTTCCTGCTGTGGCAAGGGGACTTTGCTGCCCCATTTCCAAATAGGAAACAAGAGCAAGATTGAACTCTGTGTGACGCTCAGAAAAGATGCAGCCATGAAAGAAATATGACCAGTGAACTGATACCTTGCAAGATGTCAGCGTCACTGGGAGCATTTGTTTTACATTTGTAATTTGAAAGATTTTTTTTTTAAAGAATTCTTGTATTTTTATTTTGTTTTGCTTTTTCTTAAAAATTTATTTATTTTATTTATTTATTTTTGCGT